TAGTTTTAGTTTGGAAAGATTCTGACTATAAGGTGTAAGAAAATAAAGGACCTGAACTCGACTGGACTGTTTCATCGTTGTTCTTGGGCTGGGCCTGACAAAGACCCCCATATTGCGCACCATGTCCATCTGGGGCAGTGCTACCCCATCCAGGACCAAAGATGGGGGGGAAAAAAACATTTAGCTTTTAGGGGTCATCTTATCATCATTTTACACAGGGGTTTCCATTCCTGTAATGAAACATTTGACTTTTTCATTGAACAGCTGGCTTCCATTTTGTCAGCATTTGTAACAGCTCTTTGCTTTATAAGCAGCCTAGTGTTCCTGCTGGGACTGTTATTTTTGCAAAAACAATAGTAAAATTCCAGTGGGTTCAAGGAATTAGATCTATGATTTTTTTTTCTTTTTTTGGATTTTAGACATTTTGGCATTTCCATTCCCAAATTGCAATGACATCACAAGAAAATATTGGATTGTGACCATGCATTGTTGCCTTCTAATAATCACGGGGCCCCTGATCTAATTAAGTTCTTTGATTAGAACTTTACTTGCATCTGTTTCCCCTTTTATGTTATGTGTCAATTTTGATATTTATTAGTAGTATGGAATAATTTATCACTCATCAAAAACAAAATATTGTACTCAACAATGGGGGGGAAATGCATCTAGAAACTACTCTTCTAAACTTTTGACATAAATCCTGTTTCATGGCTTTTGAGATTTAGAGCATTGAAAACAAAAAGCTTTGCCTAGGCTGACAGCTAAATAATTCTGTTTTAGGCTTGCCAATCAGCAGATTGAACAAAGCGAAATCTATTAATATTTAAACAAAGTATTAAAATGAAGAAGCTTAAAGGTTGGACTCATTAACAGTGTACCTTAATTGTACTCTATCTCTGTTATAACAGGCTAGCTGGCTAAGTCTTGTAGAACATAATGTACCATTTATTCAATTTTCAACCAACAATTACGAATATTTAGCACTGGAAAAATATTGTAGGAGTTATGATTAAATAGACAAACACACACACACACACACACACAAATAAATAACTAGGACTCTTTTCCGTAGTTCTAGTGAAGTCAGTATTTCAGCTCTGCTTCACATTTTTGCCTCAAGCTATATTGTGTTTGTAAGAAATATCAACAGAGTAAAATTATGGTGCAGAATGGAGAGAAGGAAGATTAGGGGGAAAGTAATATACAGTCCTATGCATAAGCCCGAATGATTTAACTGTGTTTAACAGCTGGCAGAGTTGGCAAAGTTATGCCCCTGGTGTTATAAGAGCTTTTGAAAAATGATATACTTCCTGGTAATACGAATGGTGTTCTTGTTTGGGATTAAACTATATTGGAAACCTTTGTCAATTTCATTGAATTAAAATTTCTATGCACTCTGAAATCTAGAAAACTTGCTGTTTTAAAATATGAACCTGGGCCTGCCCAATAATAAACCCGGAGTTGTAGGCTACATGTTGCTTTCTTCTGCCCTCTGTAAGTAATGTAATTGTAGAATTAATATCTAAAGCAGTAGCAAAGACCAAGATAGAATAGGCTTTGTCATACCTAATATCTTTGATTTTTTTTTTTTTGTCTCCTATGATCTAGAGTTAGTGATGTTGCTGGAATGGTGGTCTGGAACAGAATGCACTTTATTCTCAGACCAGGCCACAATTGATACATTTGGAAAAGAACATGCCATCATCATTCTCAATCACAATTTTGAAATAGATTTTCTGTGTGGCTGGACCATGACAGAACGGTTTGGTGTGTTAGGGGTGAGTGGTCTTAATTTATAGCTTTGTTCATTGTAACTGGAATTGGGAAACTGGATGTTTTGCTTTTGTTTTGTTTTGTTTAGGAAGTTCTTAGATTAGACCTTTTTTTTGGTGCCAATTTATTGAATTAAATTAAATTAAATAATTAAATTAAATAATTAAATTAAATACAAGAGAGCCAACGTAGTTTAGATAGGGAGGCAAAATTTGCAAGTCACACTTTGCTATTAACTTGTTGGGTGATCTTGGGGTAAATATTGGTTCAATCTAACCTACACCACAGGTTTTTGAACAGGAAGCAGATAAGTTAGGAGAAATTCTTTAGGCCATTTCAGAAAACATTTGAAAGCAGTTGTATTTGCAAATTATACATTTCAGATGAACAAATGCAAATAAAGTGTGTGTGTGTTTTAGAGTTCAAAAGTTCTTGCTAAGAAAGAACTACTGTATGTGCCCATAATTGGCTGGACATGGTACTTCTTGGAGATTGTTTTTTGCAAAAGGAAATGGGAAGAAGATAGAGACACTGTTATTGAAGGCCTAAAACGACTATCTGATTATCCTGAGTATATGTGGGTAAGTGAAGTTCTGCACATCAACTCTTTTAATGGGATGATGAAAAATACAGTTTTGTATGGATATGTGTATTGCATTTATGTGTTTTTATAAGACATAACATTGGTCATATACAGTGCACAGTCTGTCGTTCCTGTCATATGTGGATGTATACTGTTTAATAACAGTATTTAATTTAATAATTAAATCCTTAGTTTTTTCAGGATATCTCATTATATTCTGTCCTTAGTAATTTACAGATGGATGTAACATTCACACAGATCAATCATAATTGAAGCAAACCATCACTTATTGGTACAATACAGTTAAAGCAATCTAAAGAGAGGAATAGGGCCATGCTTGCTAACCCCATCTCCAGGGCTCTCACAGGGTCAGGCTTGTATCCTCCTTTGTTTTAATACAGTAGAATCCTTTGTGCTCCCTGGGACCTGTTCAAGCGAGGCTCCTATTCACAGGAAAGCTTCTAGCATTCAAGACAACCCAAGCGGAACCCTGCTTTAGAACTTCTCATTCAACAATGGGAGCAGAGACATTGGGGATGCTTTCCTATCTGGGCTGCAAAAATGTGAACAACCACAGCAGAAAACTTTGCTGTCATGTAATGTTCACTTGGACTCTTGCAGCCCGGAGATGGTAGCACTAATTTAGTCATAATATAGTGATTTTGAGGAATAAAGTATTATTGCAAGGATTGGTGGCTTTGAAAGAACACTGCAGGGAGCAAGGTTGTGTTCTGATTCTGAAATGGATGTTTGGTCCAAACTGCTGCTTATTGCTTCTGGTTTTGGGAGTGATGGTGTAATGAAGGTAGGATGCCAGAAATGAGGGAAGTTCTGGGGATGAGTTACTGGTATCCAAGAACATTGGGAGGCATTCCTCATCATCTATAGCAGTGTTTCTTAACCTTAGCACCTTTAAGATGTGTGGACTTCAACTTCCAGAATTCCCTAGCCAGCATGCTAGGGAATTAATTTAAACATTTTTTTTTCAGAGAGATTTCAGGGCAAACGTCTAATAGGCTGTGAATGTCTTCTAATCTTTCTTCTAAGGCAGAAGACTTTGCATCCAGATTTAAAACTATATTTATTTTAGTTGTCTTCATTCCCTAAATCTTTTTGTAAAACAATTGAACAGTTTTGTAATGCAGGATTTCTCCACCCACCCCCTTTTATGCTACAGTTTCTCTTATACTGCGAAGGAACTCGATTTACCGAAACTAAGCATCGTATCAGTATGGAGGTGGCTGAATCCAAAGGATTGCCTAAACTCAAATATCACTTGTTGCCCAGAACCAAAGGTTTTACAACTGCTGTCCAGTGTCTCAGGGGAACAGGTATCATGGCCTCACTTAACAGCGTTTGTGAATATGATTTCTTAGCATAATTGTTGCGATGGTCACTAAATTTTTCAACATGCAATATCTGTATTGATACAAAAGTTGGTATTTAAAATGATGAACTTGGTCATGTACTGTAAATAAATCTTAATACATTGATTAGTTTTCTTTTTGAATTCAGAGAAAATAATAATGCTACTTAGCACTTCACATTTCTAAGTGGTGTGCAAACATTGCCTAATTAACACTCCCAGCATGCATATGAGATGTAAGTTCATGTTATACCACATAGGAAAAGTTGTTAAATAGGACAGATGGCTGGCTAAATACTATGGATGGATTAAATGCTTAACTACATTCTTCCAGCCAGCAGCATTAAAGGAGCTCTGTGGATCTCAAAGCTAAATGGGCTTAGAAATACACACCATTTCTTTTCTCTGACAGAGAATCAATTATTTTACTTTATAATTGAGGATATATAATCCTCATTCACATTAAAAAGTAAAGACAGACTGATATCAGTAAGACTGAATCCAGTGCCCGAATACATGTTTCAACATATTGCATTAAACTATTTTTCTCCCTGGCAGTTTTAACCCCCCCACCCCCCGCCCCAAGTCCTTTCTGATAGTTTGGTTTTATTTTGGGCCAAGGAAATACATAAGAAACTGGAACTCTTGTGGTTTTCTTTCATTTGTGTTCTTGCATGAGCATATGCTAGAGGCAGTCAAGCATTTTTAAGCACACTGATATTCAGTTAGATCTGATGTTTCTCCCAAAAGTTGTATTTCTAAGTAGCCCTCACATCCCTTTCAGACCTGCTAGATATTTAAATCAAATTACTGTCCCCAAACATAGGAGGGCCCTAACTAGTGGGGTGCTGCTAAATGTTTAAGAACTGGTTGTGTTGGCTCCATTGCTGCTGCCACACTGCGCCACTAGCTGTAGAACACCTGATTGGCATGTTAGGGGTCGAGGCTCACTTCTGTTGTCAACTGGCTTGCAAAATTTCAAAACATTTAACAATAGGGTGTTGCAAGCCAGCTCCAGAACACCACTGGCCATAACTTTGGCACAGTTCAGTGTACTCCCATCAGCGGTTTTAGAGGGGAGATGCAAGGGGTTCCATTCAAACCTAGACTATGCCCACGTGGAGAAGCAGCCATTGAAACCACCAAACACATCTTACTATACTGTTTGTTTTATGCTGATATCTGCCATGAATTGTTAACTTCACATTTAATCAAATTCCCTGGTGATTCGGATCAGTTTTATTTATAACTCTTACTTTTGGGCTGAAGTGATTCTGTTGCTTTAACTGTGGTCAAATTCTAGTATGTATTATGTAAGATGTGCAGCAGTTTGATTGACATGCTTATCTAATTAATTAATTAATTGGTATTTGTTTTATGTACGCAGTGTCTTTTATGGACTGGTTATTGACTGTAATAAATATTTATGCACACTCACGTGTGCATATGTGCATACACACTGCATATGAGAACCATGCTTTTAGAACTTACTGTTCACAGGAACCCAGCAATTGTTTATGCGCTTCGGCACTGTAAACGCTAATTAAAACATATCTTAGCTAAGTACAAAACTGAACACAATTTGCTTGCTTCAGTTTAGATGAAACTACAAATTGTGGTTTAAAAGAGAAGTGAATGCTTTTGATTCCATTCCAGCCACTCAAGAGATGGACTAGGGAAGGGGAGTATGGTAGTGTTCCATTTAAATATACAGATAGTCTTCAACTTACAACGGCAGTTGGGACCGGATTTTCCGTTGCTGAGCAATGCAGTCATAAAGTGCGACTGCATTGTTTAGTGATGGCAATCCCTCCAGTCCAGTTACCGTTGTTAACTGAATCGCACAGTCGTTAGGCAAGGCAACTTCCTTATGGCTTCCCACAACCAAAGTCAGCAGGGAAGCCAGCAGGAAGTTGCAAGTCTCAGGCCGGCAGGCAGCTAAGTGGCTACTGCCAGGTGGGGGAGGGAGCAAGGGGCTGCAAGGGAGTATGGGGGAAGGTGCACAATGGTGCGAGGGGATGTGCGAGAGGTGAGATGAGGTGAGGGTTGGGGAAGGTGCAAGGGGGTGGTGAGAGGCACAATGTGGGTCGGGGAAGGTGCGCGAGTGTGATGGGGTGCGGAAGAGATGCAGCATAGGTCAAGGAGGGTGCACAAGATCGGGGAGGGTATGTGAGGGGGGCATGAGAGGCATGATGAGGGTCAGGGAGGGTGCATGAGGGTGCGGGTCAGGGAAGATGCATGAGGGTTGGGGAGAGTGTGCAAGGGTGAGGCGCAGGTTGGGAAGGGTTCACGGGATGCGCAGGTGGCCAGCATGATGCAAGGGCAGGGGAGCTGGGGGAGGGTGTGCAGATGGGGGAGACTTACCCAGCAACTTGGACATTCCCTGCCAGCTTCCCCATTGAGTTTCTGGGGAAGCCAGCAGGGAACGTTGCAAGTGGCGATCAACAACGTTGATTGTGGGCGCTGCCACCGGTCATAAGTGCGAACCAGTTGTCAAGGGCCCAGATCGCGTTCAAGTGACTGCAGGGATGCTGGGACAGCTGGAACTCCAAGGACCAGTCGTAACCACCATCGTAACTTTGAACGGTTGCTGAACTAATGGTTGTAAGGCATTGTCTGCATCCAAATCAGAATTTGAAATCACCATCAGTTCATGGCTTTCAGTCCCGTTATTGTAGACAGGTGAGGTTTTGGCATTATCCAAACCTAGTAAAAGAACAGGAGCAAGTATGTAAGTTATTACAATATAGATGTGCCTGACCTATCCACTCGTTTGTTAGAATGGCTGCACAGTCAAGATTCTTCATAATCTGTCTGGCAAATAGAACACACAGTAAGCTTACAGAATGGTGGGCTTCCAGATTCAGGTGTACCGACAGCTGGAGTGCAAAAATCTGCATGTGATGGAATGTATCTACAAAGAGTGGATAGCAACAGAGAGTGAGGCTATCAGGAGGGAAGAGATGCATTCCAGGAAGGGAAAGGAGACAAAAGACAACACAGTCCACAGGGAGAGCGCGGAAAGCATAAGAGGTTCAGGATAGCTGCTCCCTAGAATCTCCCAGGGTATCTCCACTAGTCGCAGTAGTACAGATTTAGTCTGGCAAGTTTCTCTCTGTATGGTGTAAGCAAATAAAGGAACTTTACTCAACTGGACTGTTTCCCCGCTGTTCTTGGGTTAGGCCTTGACGCTGCATGACCACTAGAGCTCTTTGCTGCCACTAGCAACCATTATATCTGAAACATAGATACAATAGTACACACACACACACACATTTAATATATATAATAGTATATATATTTGTGTCTTTTAATATAATTAATAACCAGTTGAATTCCAGCTGTTTGAATATTGAAATAATAATGTTATCTTTCTTGCATTAGTTTCAGCAGTATATGATGTAACATTAAACTTCAGAGGAAACAAGAACCCATCCTTACTAGGAATTCTGTATGGGAAGAAATACGAAGCAGATATGTGTGTCAGGTGAGTGCGTGAGCATGGTTCACAGCTGAAAGCTGTCACTGTGTCCAATTATTGCAATAAAACTGCCACCCTCACCTCTATACTTTCCCATCTTTAGCTTTTCAGTTTGGAAGAGATTTGTTTTAATATTAATATTAATATTAGAGGATAGAGGCAAACATATGCATCTAAGATAGTCAAATTCTTTAAAATGTGGTCATTTACTTTCTATGTTGTTTCACTTGGTTTTAGGTTTAGTATGAAAGCTTAATATGGTCAGTAGATATACAACTTTCAAAACTCCAAAAATTTGTCTTATATAAAATACACCTTGCAAAAGTGGAAGAGGGCCTTCTCCTGGGAATTTATACTCAGCCTCCATTCTCTCTTTCTATTTTTAAGAAAGGAATCAGGACCTTAGTGAAGTCTTTGAATTTGTTTGAATGTGATAAGGATCTAACAGATGTTGGCCATGCCGTCTTGGGATTGGGGGACTTTAAATCAATGCAATACATTTTCCAGAAGACACATTTCCCTTTCTGTATAAAAGAAATGCTTTTTTTCCATGTTCACAATTGGCTTCAGATAAGAAAATTGTTCATTAGATGATCTTTGCCATCGGCTCCCTCTAGTGGCAAATGTATTGCAGGATGTGACAATACAGTTTGCACTGACAGATAATTTAGAGAGCTCTATGCAGAGAACAGGAATAGGGATTGGTATTGTCCAGCAAGGGAAAAACGAATAGCTTAGCCATATATCTTACTGAAGGTTACAGATGTATGCCACTTTTGTAGCCATTTAGGTTCAATGTGGATATTCTACAAGCAAAATATTCAATGGATGGCCGTGTTCAGACTTGTACACCTTTCAGCAACCTTCTACATAACTATGAATAAACAGTGCAATCCTATATATGTTTACCCAGTAGTAAGTTCCATTGTGTTCAGAGGGTTTTATTCCCAGGTAAGTATGCATAGGGTTGCAGCCTAAGTAAATTTTTGTAAGGTTCATCTGACACATAAAATCTTACAGAGGCTGTGCAGAAAATTTAGCAAAGCTAAATCAGTTTCACTCCATAGGGCTACTCTGCCAGGAGCATTTCCAGCACAAGACCAGATGAAATGATTGGAAGTTCACCTAAACAGGTTTCAGGGGGCTGCATCCCAGGATACTCAATGGTTCAGGTTCTTATATTGCGCAGGTTGTTCTCTTTGCTGCTTCTCTTGTGCAAGAATTCATGTAAAGTCAAGATTTCAACCAGATGCTCAGAGCTCAGTCTTGTCACCATGACATTTCATCTTTTGATGTTAGATTGTCAGCAGAATCAGGGAAGATAGGTTCTTGGCATAGGAGATAAGAAAAAAATACTTCAATTCAGGGAATATAATTTCACCACTCATTTCTGAAGTGAGAATTTCTGAGGTTAAGTCATTGTTTGTTTCAGATTTGACAGTGATTGCTCAAGAGTGTAAGAATGGCATTTTGCCATCTGCAAAAACATTTTTTTGTTATGAAGATATTCTAAGACTGAGACAGAAAGTAATATCTACTCTTAAGTACAATCTAAGTGATGGCTGTATTGAATTACTGCTACATTTTTCATATATCACCTCTTGTAGCTATGTTCAATGCAAGGGTGCATTCATAAAATGCATTTTTATGGATATAGAGGTATAGTAAAAGGAGACAGAGAGATGTTAACATCCTGGTTATTTGTACCCAGCATTCCAAAATACACGCAGCTTCTAATTCTGAAGATATTTTCATATTGTATTTATTGTCACTTTGATAAAAACTCTTTATTGAACCTTTTTTCAACAACCTAGGAGGTTTCCTTTAGAAGATATCCCTTTGGATGAAAAGGAAGCAGCGAAGTGGCTCCATACACTTTATCAGGAAAAGGTAAATGAGTTGTTTGCATTTAAAATCTTGCAGAGCTTTGTGCTACAGAATGATTTTTTTAAGGAAAGACAGTATTGATAATTCCAAAAAAAATTTCTTCTTTAAGTGCAATGGGAAAGTTCTGTAATAAAGATCTTGCATGGTTGTTTGTGAAGTTATTAAAGGGGGTTAATAAAATTGTCCTGCTATCATATCTGTGTAATTACTGTATTTCTTTAGGGCCATGCTCCTAACTTGATTTGCCCCAAAGGCTGCTATTAGCTTTAAAATAACTTTGAAAGACCTTAATCACATCTAGTTGATCAGTAAATATATGTACATTTTCTCAATGGGCCAGATTTTTTGGTATCATTGCTATATATTGGATTTAATTAAATATCTTATTACATTTCATACTATAATTTATAGCATGATCAAAAGCACTTCTTTCCTTTGTCTCCTTTGGGAGATTGAAATTAGTGTTATCAAGTGTGGGCAATCCATGACCTTATGGATTGCCTGTGTGCCCCCTCCCCCAAGTGCTTTGAAGCAGAAGTATTTTTGGAATTGCATCTTTTTCTTTTTCTAGATGCTTCAGTATCAGAGCCTGTATCTAATTTTGGGATAGTTTATCTTCAGTTTTAAGGGGGGAAGTGTTGGAGAATGGTGATCAAGCACACCTGAGTGGGTGCTGTCCTGTTTGTTGAGTTTTCATACAATTTGTCTGGGCCTCCTGAAATCATTCGGTTACTGCTGCTGGTGGCAGAATGTTTGTTTATACATTGAATTCATATCCTGGGATGGATGGATGGATGGATGGATGGATGGATGGATGGATGGATGGATGGATGGATTGATTCCTTTGTCTCCATTCATCCCCCTTTTGGTTCTGCCACTTTTGGAGAGTGTATGGAGTTCTCAGATCCTGAAAGTTGCCTGTCTGCAATCTACATATTGTGCTGCTCAGCTTGTTTTCCATTTTTT